TGGCCTTACGCCAATCCAGTGGTACTATGCCAGCCATTAGAGAGTCCCTAAAAATTATTGTCATACAATAAGTGTGACCGCACACTATGGATCCTCACTTTGCATCCATCACCACTCTGCATCCTATTACCAATAACTTTATAGTTCTAGGGTGCACTATTCGATGAATGCCCTCATGGATTACCTGTCACTCATTGACCTTCTGGTTCTCAGAGATATGTATAAAAATAAGTTAGATGCATCTATCACCTTAAAGGAAGTGCAGATGGTTATATCTTCACAATGGTCAAGGAAGACCCCCCAGTGCAGACGGCCTACCTGTGCAATTCTTTAAGATCTATTCCAAGGACTTTCCCCCAAACTTCACTCAATGTTGCTTTGCTCCTATGAGGATGATGAGTTAGGCAGTGGTTATTGTCAGAGGCGTCCCTAGGGTAGGTGTCACCCGGTGCGGTAACACTTGGTGACACCCCCTCCGACAATCCCAGCAGAATGAATCGGATCTGCGGATTGAGCAGAATGGATCAGACTCCGATCCATTATGCTCAATCCACAGATCTGATACATACTGCGGGGATTGTCGGCATGCAACCTATACGGGGTAACACCGGACCCGCTCCAAGAAAAGGTAAGTTGTAAAGAAAGCTGACGATCCCCGCAGGATGAATCGGATCCATCCTGTGGGGATCTTCGGCTTGCTTTACAACTTACCTTTTTGTGGAGTGGGTCCGGTGTCACCCTGTGCGGTTGGTGTCACCCGGTGCGGACCTCACCCCTCTTACCTGCCTCGGGCCACCACTGGTTGTTGTGCTGCTCAAGCCAGGTAAACCCTGTAATCTCTGTTCCATACAGGCAAATTTCCCTTCTGAATGCAGAAGTCAAACTTTTGCCTTAATACAGTCATTTCCACACTGGTCCATGTGAACTAATCGGGGTTCCTGACTGGCAGGGGAAACAGACATTAATATTTGCAGGTTTTTCTCCCATATGTCCTTGGCTTCTGCTGACGGCCCAGGGGTAGGGGCCTCTCTTGGTGCTGAAAAAAGCATTTGATTCTACCTCTGGGCTGTCTTAGCTAAATTTGGCTTTATCCCCCAATGTATTTCCTGGTTGTAGCTACTATATGCCTGGCCCTTTCCCCCTACATAGCGGCACAAGACAAGGCTACCCCTTGTTGCTAGGGCTATTTGCTCTGGTCCTCAGTCCTATGGCATAAGGCCCATAGAGGAGAATCTCTCCCTATACATGGACGACACTCTGCTCTGTTATATGCCCATTCAGGACAAGTGATCGTTTCTCTGCAAAGCTTCTCCTCGACCTCCTTTTACACTATACCTCCTCCTCTGCACCTTCCTTTGTCACAGCTGCCCCTGAAATCAGTGGCCGGGGGGAATGATTACATCACTTCCTCCGTTATGTGACAGTATATGGCTGCTATGACCAAACACTGTTATATGGGAGGAGGTCACATTTCACCATATCCAGAATTGGTAATGTCACTTGCTGTGATGGAGAAATGAGCTTCAGGGAGCGTTAGTGAAGTAAGTGAGGGAAAATCTCTGTAGTGGCTACACAAATAGCAGTAAAAACCTGACATTGTAACTAAAACTAAAAGGAAGGTTTTGTCAGGATTTGTTCTTTAATAGCTCAGGAATTAATCTGACACTGGAACACCACTGACTAGTTCTTGATGAACACTGTGGTAGCCAATGGAATATGAACCATAAAGTATTATATCATTAAAACACTGTAGCACAATGGTGAATTAGTTAAGGCCTCTTACAATTGGGGATTACCTGGATGATACCTGGAGATAAGCCGCACTGCTTACAGCACTTTAGTGATAACTTGCAGATGCCACCTAGCGACACGTTTCTGTACAATTAAATTGTGTCTTTTGTGTGATCTAAACTTAATTTATTGGAAGGACCTCTTACACTTACGTCCTTTGAATTATTCTGTCAAGCTACTGGTCTGTTGAGGGGTCAAATATGCATGATCTATAGTTCCCTTATTGATCTGATTGCTAAGCTGCCTTATATGGTCCATTGGGAACAAGACTTTAAATATATTGAACTGACTGAATGGCAGGTCATTGCCTATGCTCTGTCCAAAATCTCTACTAATAAGACATTGATAGATTCCAATTATAAGACACTCCTCAGGTGGTACCTGGATCCCACGCAACTTGCAAAGATGCATTCTACTGCATAGCCTGCCTGTTTTCGGCATTGTGGACAATTAGGAACCATGTACCATATCGGGTGGCAATACCCCACAGTGTATAGATTTTGGATTTGGATGTTCAATTTCATTCATTCAGTGATAGGAGTGAATATTCGTAGATTACCAGGAGCAGCCCTTTTTCAAAAAGTTCCTCAAAAAATCAACAAAACCAATCCTCTACATACTCCTAGCTGCGAGGATCATTATTGCTAAACATTGGAAACTATTGGTGGTGCCACTTGACTACATTAAAAGTAAATTGAATTGGATCATGACTAATAACAAACTTACCTGCATGCTTTATAAGAGAATGATGAAGTTTGATAAAAATGGGACCCGTAGATTCAATACTTATCTGTCTCCTAGCAGGGCCTTGGTTAACCCTCTTCTATTTCCTTTTCCATTTCTCTTTTATTATTTTTCGTTTCTCCTCTTGTTTCTTCCTTTTGTTTCTTAACTTGATTTTTCTTCTTCTAGTACCTGACTACTGGCATGGTCATGTTCTCAGGTACTTAAATACTAACTTTTCTCAATAGTATGATGTGTTCTGAAACAATGACAATGATTGCTGTTTATCCCTTTTATTAACAGATTTTGCTAGAGGGATTTTGGTTCCCATATACAGGTGAAACTCGAAAAATTAGAATATCATGCAAAAGTTCATTTATTTCAGTAATGCAACCTAAAAGTTGAAACTAATATAAGAGATAGACTCATTACATGCAAAGCAAGATAGTTCAAGCCGGGATTTGTCATAATTGTGATGATTATGGCTTACAGCTTATGAAAACCCCAAATCCACAATCTCAGAAAATGAGAATATTGTGAAAAGGTGCAATATTCTCGGCTCAAAGTGTCCCACTCTAATCAGCTAATTAAGCCATAACACCTGCAAAGGGTTCCTGAGCCTTTAAATGGTCTCTCAGTCTGGTTCAGTAGGAATCACAATCATGGGAAAGACTTCTGACCTGACAGTTGTGCAGAAAACCATCATTGACACACTCCATAAGGAGGGAAAGCCTCAAAAGGTAATTGCAAAAGAAGTTGGATGTTCCCAAAGTGCTGTATCAAAGAATATTAATAGAAAGTTATGTGGAAGGGAAAAGCGTGGAAGAAAAAGGTGCACAAGCAGCAGGGATGACCGCAGACTGGAGAGGATTGTCAGTAAAAGGCCATTCAAAAATGTTGGGGACTTTCACAAGGAGTGGACTGAGGCTGGAGTCAGTGCATCAAGAGCCACCACACACAGATGGATCCTGGACATGGGCTTCAAATGTCGTATTCCTCTTGTGAAGCAGCTCCTGAATAACAAACAATATCAGAAGCGTCTTACCTGGGCTAAAGAAAAACAGACCTGGTCTGTTGCTCAGTGGTCCAAAGTCCTCTTTTCTGATGAGAGCAACTTTTGCATCTCATTTGGAAACAAAGGACCCAGAGTATGGAGGAAGAATGGAGAGGCACACACTGCAAGATGCTTAAAGTCCAGTGTGAAGTTTCTGGGGAGCCATGTCATCTGCTGGTGTTGGTCCACTGTGCTTCATTAAGTCCAGGGTCAACGCAGCCGTCTACCAGGAGATTTTGGAGCACTTCATGCTTCCTTCCGCAGACAAGCTTTATGGGGATGCTGACTTCATTTTCCAGCAGGACTTGGCACCTGCCCACACTGCCAAAAGCACCAAAACCTGGTTCAATGACCGTGGGATTACTGTGCTTGATTTGCCAGCAAACTCGCCGGACCTGAACACCATAGAGAATCTATGGGGGATTGCCAAGAGAAAGATGAGAGACATGAGACCGAACAATGCAGAAGAGCTGAAGGCTGCTATTGAAGCATCCTGGTCTTCCATAACACCTCAACAGTGCCCAGGCTGATAGCTTCCATGCCACACCGCATTGAGGCAGTAATTGCTGCAAAAGGGGCCCAAACCAAGTACTGAGTACATATGCATGCTTCTACTTTTCAGAGGTCCAATATTGTTCTATATACAATCCTTGTTTTATTAATTGCATGTAATATTCTAATTTTCTGAGATTGTGGATGTGGGGTTTTCATGAGCTGTAAGCCATAATCATCACAATTATGACAAATCATGGCTTGAACTATCTTGCTTTGCATGTAATGAGTCTATCTCATATATTAGTTTCGCCTTTCAAGTTGCATTACTGAAATAAATGAACTTTTACACGATATTCTAATTTTTCGAGTTTCACCTGTATGTGTGATATAAGGTTTAATTGTGCATTTTTTCCAAACATTGTCTATGCAATTTATGATTTACCTGTTTGATCACCTGAGAGCTTTGTATCTCTTCTTTCTTTGTACTTTAATAAAAGATTGGAATTAAAAACACTGTAGCAGATTTATTGAGGCATCAAAAATGTACATTACAAAAACCTGCATAAAAGAAGACAATAAATAAAATATAAATACACATAAAAATTTTGAGTATGACACATATAGCCTTTTGATTTAATGTTTTGACCCTACTCCCAGTCAATGGGAATAATATCTGTCCTGCCGTGTGTCTATTATACCAAGCCCACTATGTGTCGAGCAGTCCTTATCCAAATGCAGGTCCCGAGAATTGTGGTTATGCGGGTAAATACTGTTGTCACTTCTGGTGTTAAGTGATAATTGCCTTCTCCAAATCCTCATGGCTCTACAGATGTCCTTCCTGACATTTTCACTGACCAAGACGTAGATAAAAGGATCAGCAATGCTGTTTACAGTCACAAGACAAAGGAATATAGAATAGGCTGTGTAAATCTTTTCTTCAAAACCACAGAAGTTTTCGCCTTTTAGGAAATATGCAATTCCTCGTATAAGCAACACCACATGGTACGGAGCAAAACAGATCATGAAGATGATAATGATGGCAATGGCTAAATACTTTACTTTGTTTTTTTTGCTGACTGGTGAAGCTGCCACTTGTCTCAATCCTCCTTTTGATGACGTAATTAGTGTACATCAAAGTCAACAAAGGGACCAAGAAGCCAATAATGAACCTGGCAACATAAAAGTATGCAATATGTGAGGGTACTGGCAAGGTTTCAAAGCAGGTGGTTTGGTTTCCTGTTGGGTCACCATCACTGAGCCTGAAAACAGGGGCATGGATCAATGCCACCACACTGCAGATAGTGACAGTGACACCAATAGCAATTTTCTGGCGCCGAACCCCTCTGGACTCCAAAGCGTATTCCACAGCCATATAACGATCCACAGAGATACAACACAAGAGGAGAATGCTTATGTATATATTGTTGAAGAATATAAAGCCTGTAATCTTGCATGCCAATGGGCCCCATTTCCACACATGGCCATTTTGTACATAGTGGATCCAAAGTGGTAGAGTCCCAAGATACATGATTTCACTTAAGGATAGGCTGAACAGATAAACTGCTAGAACATTCTTCCTAAATATTTGAAGAAGTGTCAACCACAAGGTCAAAAAATTAGCTGGCAGGCCAATAGCCAGGACAATGCTGTACATGATAATGACAAAGAACTTGCTGTCTTCATATGGTGGATAGCACTGTGGCTCTGTGATCGAGCTGTTGGATGAGTTCACCATTGTGAGGGTTAGATTCCAAGGAACATTCATTTTCAGCTACTGGAAAAGAGAACATAACAGAAACCAATATTACAAAATCTGAAATCTTTAGAAATCCACTAGAGCTAAAGCCATGAGAAAACCCCCAAATGTCCCTGTACTAAATATCAAACTGTGGTTAGCACAAAAGCCTAAGGCCTTATATACACTGGGCATAAAAAAATACTGCTTATACAGGAATTTGACATTTTTTTCTTTCAGCATGTAGGAGCAACACTATGTTAGCCTATGTGTCCATGCACATTTTGGCGTTTACAGGTGCATTTGGAGAGGAGCATTTACAGGTTTAACAGTTTCCCAATATCCATTAAACCAGAGCACCAGATAGCTGCATAAAATCATAACAGGTTAGAATTTTTTATTAAAGTGACCCTGTTAGTTGCTTAACAAATTCCAAACAAAGGTTCCCTGCAATAGAAGAGAAAGAACTATTATACTCACTTCTCTGGTAGCCTGTGCCTCCTACCTTCCCAACATATCTGCTCTGCAACCTCTGTGACTGTGGAATTTTGGATACCTGTGTCCCCTGTGATAAATCATCTTACCCCTACCCCACCACAGGACACAGCAGTAATGTAGGGGTTGATGGATAGAACCATGGTGTGCAGAGCAGGACACAGACATACAACACTCTCGGAAATTTCAAACTCTAAAGAGGCTGCTAGAGGTTACAGAGCCTAAATAAAGAGATTCTTGCCATGTTAGATTTTAGTTTTGATAATTATTGGTTTAAGGTTTATTAAATATTGTTATGGTAAAGCTGAATCATCTGAATGTCTGCTTTAATGGCTTTTGGGGATTTACAATGGGGTTGATTTACTAAAGGCAAATATACTATGCACTGTAAGTGCAGTTGCTTTCACAGCTTAGTAAATGAGGTAAGCTTCACTTTGCAAAGAATACCTGATCGCATGCAAGGAAAAATTAAAAACAGAATTTTTGCTTGCACATGATTGGATGATAGAAATCAGTAGATATTCCCCTTATTTCAGAGCTTCCCCTCAGATTTAGAGCAACTGCACTTGCAGTGTACAGTATATTTGCCTTTAGTAAATCAATCCCAATATATTTCTTTTACTTCTGCTGAGATTTAGTGTAGTAGATTAGAAATGATAGTTTGGCCAGAGTACTGAAAATATTCAGGAAACATTCAGCAACATATGTATCTATAACATCTACACCAGGCTTATTTAGAATTATTATAGAGCAGAATTCTTCAACATGGATAACAATCAAATGCTATGAATAACAAAGTGCCACCAACAAAGCATAGACGTGAATGGCAGCCAGATAGGAGTTTGTTTGCTCGTTGTATAGACCAGTCTTTTTCAACCAGGGTGCCATGGCATCCTGGGGTTCCTTCTGGGTTCTTCAAGGGTGCCTTGGTGAAATGGCTAAAAATTTCCCCAAATTGCCTACCTTTTCATTATACAAAGCCACAGGTTTGTATTATATAGCAGTAAAACTAGGACACCGTGCAGGCCAACCATCTGTGTCCTAACAAAGTAATGATGTCATCAGCTGACAAGGAGGACGTAGGGCACTCTCCTGCCCCTCTCCATCAGCACTGGGGTCACATTATCTGGATGAGGGAGAAAAACTGAGGGTGAACAGAAAAACTAGAATATAGGCAGTCCCTGGGTAACAAAAAGATTGGTTCTGTAGGTTTGTTCTTAAGTTGAATTTGTATGTAAGTTGGAACAGGTACATTTTTTAAGTGTAATTCCAGCCAAAAATTATTTTGGATAGCATAGGGAAGGGTTTCATGGCCATGCAGTGATGTGGAATTGCTGACAGGTCCATCAGACAGTAGGTGGCAGCATGCGATGGGCAGCAAGATGGCCACCTGGCAGTTTCCAGGACCAGCGTGATGTCACATCTTGCTGCCTCTGTTCTTAAGTATGAGTCTATGCAAGTCAGATGTTTGTAACACGGGGACTGATTTTACTAGTTAGTAGCAGTGTGCAAAGGTGTATTTGCTTTGTAGGAATAAATCAACTCCAATGTTGAGTGTCCTGCATCTGTGGATGGTGCAGGGGCGGACTGAAAACTCATGGGGCCCCCGGGCAATAGGGGATCATGGGGCCCCTGTGTCCTTGCCCACACCCAAAAAAGCATATGAAAAAGCCAATGAAAGGTACCAGGGGCATCTCATGGGGCCCCCTACTGACTCCGGGCCCTCAGGCAGTGCTCGAGTGCTTAAATGATCAGTCCGCCCCTGGGATGGTGCATACATAAAACAATTAGTTTTATTTTTGGGGTGCCTCTAGATTGTGCACAATTTTAAAGTTGACTTGACTTGACTGAAAAAAGATTGGCAACCACTGGTTTAAAAAGCAGCTTAAAAAAAATTAACATCCTTTCCTTACAAATGACAATGCAAAGTGGCATCAGCATATTAGCACACAGAGATACCTGCCCACATCCACAGTTATTTTCCAGAAAGCCCCTATACCCAGTGTACTCTAATATGCAAATAATGACAGCTAATAGGAAGCTAACATTTGGTCACCCCCATGCCTCTCTGTTGGTGCATCAATGGTAAGGTTAACCTTAAACACCAAAGGAGAGGCTCAGGAAGTGGGAGGGAGTGGGTCCAAGAACACATTTATGGGTTGGTTTTAGGGGTTGCACTACAACATACCTGAATAGATCTGCAGACAAATCTTTTACATAGTTGCAGTGGTAAAAGGTTCACTTTGACTATTTGGTCTTTACACAATAGGAAACAAATGATGCACTAAATTTAATTTCCAATAATAACCAATTATAAAACAACTTTTACTGTTTAGTTGGTTCTGAGCTCAGTTTCGTTGTGATGGATAAATGCATATCCTTCTCAATGGAGGAATGAGAGTTTGGAAGCAATAACCATGAGATGAAAACATGTAAACTGCAACAAGTTAGAGATAACATTCATAGTAATTCTACATAAACTATGTGACTTTAGATACTGGGGATATGGCTCCATCGGGAGTCCTAGTGACTGTAATTACTGTATACTTTTAAAGTGGAACCTTAAAAATAAGTGCCTGTTTGGTTTAAAATGCAATAATACACTGTGTCACCATGCTATGCACATGCTCAGTTTCGGCACTGAGCCGCAAATATAGAGGCTGATTTGCTGACAACCTAAAGATTTACTGCTGCTCATGGCTCTGGGCTTCAGCAAAATGGCAGCCTCCAGCAAGAAGTAAAACGAGCAGTGCTGGAGGCAATTTACAGCACATACTAATTTTAGCCACATAAATATTAATGTAGAATGTTTGTTCCTTGCTAAAGAACAAGTTGTTATGAGTAAAGTTCCAGTTTAAGGAGAAATTGGGTGAATGCTATATAGAGCTGCTTTGGAAACATACAGTGAAGGAAATACGTATTTGATCCTCTGTTGATTTTGAATGTTTACCCACTCACAAAGAAATGATCAGTCTAAAAATCGAATGGTAGGTGTATTGTAACACTGAGAGACAGAATAACAACAAAAAATTCAAAAGAAATGCATGTCTAACAAATTATGCACTGATTTGCATGTTCATGAGAGAAATAAGTATTTGATCCCCTTCACAAAACATGACTTAGTACTGAGCCAGGTAAGGTATAGCAGCCCCCTGCCCGCCCCTGTACTTAGTGTCCCTTCCTTGCAGAAAATACGCCCCTGCCGGCGGGTCGGATAAATGGCTTCAGTGGGCCGCATGTTGCCCGCAGGCCGTTGTTTGAGGACCCCTGTTCTAGAGTCTCCAAAGGGGGTAGTGCTACACTTATTAGAGCCCTGCAAGTGCAGCAGCTGACAGATAATTATGAAGCCATTCCTATACAGATTCACTTTCCAAAGCTGATGAAAGTGTTTTAGAACTAGATTTTTTTCTTTACCTCCTCTCCAGTTGTCAGTTGTCAGACAGAACAGAAAGTGGAGGACATCTCTCCAAATGGGTCATACAACCATTTTTTTAAACCTTCACCTGTACCTACACTACCAACTAAAGTGTCTCTACTTTCTTTTTTGGCTAAATTATTTTTAAGACAAAATTACAGGTGTTAGATAGGTGGAGTGGAGCCATAGCTGCCTGGCCAACTTTGTTTATTGGTTGCCCAAGCTAGATTTGGGGCCTAAAGTCCAACTCCAACCAATGTTTTGAATAAAGTATGGAAGGGTTAGAAAGTAGTTGGGTTCTTACTATCAGTTGTGTCTTGCCTTCACTTCCTGTCAAGACAGGAAGTGATAGGAATTCGCTCCAATGGGGACACAGACAAATAAAAGTAGTAGAGAAGGGAAGGGTTAAAACATCAGCTTTTTTTTCTTTTGTACCTGTCCTGGAGACAACTGTACCCTCCCTCATATCTTCTACATTTATGACAGGGACAGGAAGTGAGGACAAACCTCAATGGGGATACCAGCAGAAAACCCTGACAAATTTTACCTCCTACTCCCTCCATCCAAAAGTTAAGAAACAAGACTAAAGTTAGACTTTTAAAATGTATATTCAGTCTGTCACACCTCTCCAAGAAGGTATACATTATCAGCCCTTAGCAGCAGTGCCAAAAACCAAATTTGTCCTGGTTTTTCATTTGGGGACATTACAAGATGGAACAGTAAGGAATTGGAATGACATTATCACAATATTATTTTTATATTAACATTAAAATGACATTGCTGTTTGTTTTAAATAGACAACCTTAATGGCAGCAGTTTAGTTGCAATTCAAATATTTTAAATAAAAACAAAATGATTACAGAACTCACACTATTATTTCATTATTTATGCTACAATAAACTTTGAAGGATATAAAAAAAATCACTTTACTTGAAACTATTGGCCACATAACACCATTATCACAATTACAACCCACTCTGAAAAAAACTAATTAGGGCAAATGTAGGAATCTTTCAGGTGCATTCAGCTTGCATTTGAAATATTTTAGAGTTAGTTTGTAATTGTCTGTAACCTGTTTAATTTTTTTATT